GTCCAGCACGCCAGCCAGCAGATCACGGCGGACAAGCAGTACAAGGGCATCGTGGACTGCGCGGTGCGCATCCCGCGGGAGCAGGGCTTCCTGTCCTTCTGGCGGGGCAACCTGGCCAACGTGATCCGCTACTTCCCCACGCAGGCGCTCAACTTCGCCTTCAAGGACAAGTACAAGCAGCTGTTCCTGGGCGGCGTGGACAAGCACGCCCACTTCTGGCGCTACTTCGCCGGGAACCTGGCCTCGGGCGGCGCGGCGGGCGCCACCTCCCTGTGCTTCGTGTACCCGCTGGACTTCGCCCGCACGCGGCTCGCCGCCGACGTGGGCAAGTCGGGCGCCGAGCGCCAGTTCAAGGGCCTGGGCGACTGCCTGGTGCAGATCACGCGCTCGGACGGCGTGCGCGGCATGTACCAGGGCTTCAGCGTGTCCGTGCAGGGGATCATCATCTACCGGGCGGCCTACTTCGGGGTGTACGACACGGCCAAAGGTGCGTGCTGGCCGCGGGCGCGCGGCGGTCCGGCCCTCCCTGCCTCCCTCCCTCCCTCCCTCCCTCCCTCCGTCCCTCCCCCCCCTCCCTCCCTCCCTCTCTCCATCCATCCATCCATCCCTCCCTCCCTCCCCCCCTCCCTCCCTCCATCCATCCATCCCTCCCTCCGTCCCTCCCTCCCTCCGTCCCTGCCTCCCTCCCTCAATCCATCCATCCATCCATCCATCCATCCATCCATCCATCCATCCATCCAAGAATCCATCGATCCATCCATCCACGAATCCATCCATCCATCCATCCACCCATCCATCCGTCCGTCCGTCCATCCATCCCTCCCTCCCTCCATCCATCCATCCATCCATCCATCCATCCACCCATTTATACATTCATCCACCCATCCACCCATCCCTCCCTCCCTCCCTCCCTCCCTCCCTCCATCCATCCATTCATCCATCCACCCATCCACCCACCCATCCATCCATTCATCCATCCATCCATCCATCTATTCATCCATTCATTCATCCATCCCTCCATACATCCATCCATCCATCCCTCCCTCCACCCATCCATCCCTCCATCCCTCCCTCCCTCCCTCCCTCCATCAACCCATCCACCCACCCATCCACCCATCCATCAATCCATCCATCCATCTATTCATCCATTCATCCATCCATCCACCCATCCACCCATCCACCCATGCATGAATCCATCCACCCATCTATCCATCCATGAATCCATCCATCCATCTGTAAATCCATCCATCCATCCATCCATCCATCAATCCATCCACCCACCCATCCATCCACCCATCCATCCATCCATCCATCCAACCATCCATCCATCCAACCCTATCCATATTCATATCTATCTATCCATCTATCCTTCTATCCACCTATCCTTTATCTGCCTATCATCTATGTATATCTATCATCTATATCTATCTATCCATCTATCCGCATATCCTCTATCTGTCATCTATCTTCTATCTATCTACCTATCTATCTATCTATCATCTATCTATCTATCCATCCATCCATCCATCCATCCATCCATCTATCCATCTATTCATTCATCCATCCATCAATTCATCTATGAATCCATTCATCCACCCATTCATCCATCCATTCTCTATCCGTCTATCCATGATTCCATCCATCCATCTGTAATTCCATCCATCCATCCATCCATCCATCCATCCATTCACCCAACCATCCATCCATCCATCCATCCATCCATGCATCCATCCATCTATCTATCTATCTATCCATCCATCTATCCATCAATCCATCCATTCACCCATCCATGAATCCATCCATTCACCCAACCATCCATCCATCCATCCATCCATGCATCCATCCATCTATCTATCTATCTATCCATCCATCTATCCATCAATCCATCCATTCACCCATCCATGAATCCATCCATTCACCCAACCATCCATCCATCCATCCATCCATGCATCCATCCATCTATCTATCATCCATCCATCCATCTATCCATCCACCCATCCAACCATCCATCCATGCATCCATCCATCCATTCAACCCTATCTATCCATATTCATATCTATCTATCCATCTATCCTTCTATCCACCTATCCTTTATCTGCCTATCATCTATGTATATCTATCTATCATCTATATCTATCCATCTATCCGCATATCCTGTATCTGTCATCTATCTATCTATCTATCTATCAATCTATCTATATCATCTATCTATCATCTGTCTATCAATCTATCTATATCATCTATATAACTATCTATCTATATCATCTATCTCATCTATCATCTATCTATCTATCTATCTATCTATCTATCTACCCACCCACCCACCCACCCACCCACACACTGAGCGGCCAGATTATTCTGCGTTCAGAGATCATCAACACCTGGCCCCTCCGAGTCTGTTTACAAAGGCGGGGATGGGCGTGGCCAGAGACGGAAAGTGGGCGTGGTCAAAGGTGGGCGTGGCTGAAGGTGCTTTGGGGTGTGGCTGAGGGGGCCTGGGCACCAGGCGGCTGTGAAACATTGTATCAGGGGGACGTGCCCGCTGGCAACATTGTATCAGGGTGGGAGCTTGGCGTGGCCATAGGTGGGCGTGGCCTGAGGGCCGTGGTCAAAAGTGGGCGTGGTCAGTGGTGGGCGTGGTCAGTGGTGGATGCAAACGCAGCCACAAAGGGGCGTGGCCGGAGGTGGAAGTGGCTAAAGGTGTGGGTTGTGAAAGGTGGGCGTGGCCAGAGGTGGGTGCATGGCATGACGGGAGGTGTGCAGGACCAAAGGGGTGTGGCCAAAGGTGGGTGATAGGCGTGGCCAGAGGGGGCGGGGGCGGCCAGGAGGCTGGGGGCGGGGCTGGCCGCCAGGCGGCTGTGATACATTGTATCAGGGGGTTGTACCCGCTGGATACATTGTATCAGGGTGGGGGGCGTGACGTGGCCAGAGGTGGGCGTGGCCCGAGTGCCGTGGTCAAAGGTGGGCGTGGTCAGTGGTGGACACACCCTGCAGCCAAAAGGGGCGTGGTCACAGGTGAGCACAGCCCAAAGGGACGTGGTCAGTTGTGGACGCACAACGTGGCTGGAGGGGCGTGGCCAAAGGTGTGGGGTTGTGAGAGGTGGGCGTGGCCACAGGTGGGTGCAGGGCGGGACCAAAGGGGCGTGGCCAAGGGTGTGTGTGACTCGGCCAGCGGGGGCGTGGCCAGAGATGGGCGCAGGGTGCTGTCAAAGGGGGCGTGGCCAGGGAGCAGCACAGGGCCAGAGGGGGCGTGGCCATAGGTGGGTTTACATCATGGTCAGATGTGGGCGTGGCGAAGGGGGCGTGGCCAAAGCGGATGTATAGCAAGGGCCAAGGGGCGTGGCCAATGGGCATGGCCTAAGGTGGGTGAGGACGGGGTGGGAGGTGGGGCGTGGTCAGAGGGGGCGTGGTCAGAGGGGCGGGGGAGGGGCTGTGAAACATTGTTTCGGGGGACAAGCCCACTGGCAACATTGTATCAGGCGGACGGGTTTATGTTTAGGATTTAAAATGTGTTTTTTATTGATGTGAGGGAGGGAGGGAGAGAGAGATACGAGAGAGAGAGAGAGAGAGAGAGAGAGAGAGAGAGAGAGAGAGAGACATCCAAGAGAGAGAGAGTCATGCACCAGCTGGAATTTCTTTATTTTTATGATTTAAAATATGTTTTTATTGATGGTGGAGAGGAACGGAGGGCTCTCTCGTTTACGTGTAGAATTTAATTCATTTTGTAGTAATATATATATGTGATTATAACATATATATTAAAATCTATACATCTATGATATTTCCTATGGATGTCAGAGAGGGAGGGAGAGGGAGAGAGAAACATCCATGAGGAGAGAGAATCACGGACCGGCTGCCTCCTGCACGCCCCCTGCTGGGGATGGCGCCCGCAGCCTGCCATTGACCTTGACCTGACCTCTGTGAAGCCACGTGGTGCCGGGAGCTGCTTAGGAGGAGGGACGGGGGTCCGGGAAGGGGGTATCGCTGACCTTGACCTTGACCTGACCTCTGTCATACCACGTGGTGTGGGAGCTGCTTAGGCGAGGGTCCTGGGCCTGACCTTGACCTGACCTTGACCCCGACAGCCATGCTCCCTGACCCCAGGTCCTGCTGCTGACCTTGACCTGACCTCTGAGATATCACGTGTTTCCCAGAGCTGCTTAGGGCCGAGTGGGGGGATGAGGCTTAGGGGGGAGATGGGGGCCAGGAAGGGGGTCCGAGGCCTGACCTTGACCTTGACCTCTGTGATACCACATGATGCTGGGAGCTGCATAGGGAGGGTTGATGGGGGACCAGGGAGCGGGGTCCTGGGCTTGACCTTGACCCTGGCAGGCATGCTTGGGGGGATGGGGGTCCTGGGTGGGAGTTCCGCTGACCTTGACCTTGACCTGACCTCTGTGATACCACGTGGTGCTGGAGCTGCTTGGGGAGGGGATGGGGCTTAAGTGGGGGGAGATGGGGGGCCCGGAGGGGATCCGGGGCCTGACCTTGACCCCGCAGGCATGCCGCCTGACCCCAGGTCCTGCCATTGACCTTGACCTGACCTCTGTCATACCACGTGGTGCTGGAGCTGTTTGGGGAGGGGATGGGGCAGATGGGGGCCAGGAGGGGGTCCGGGGCCTGATCTTGGCCTTGACCTGACCTTGACCCAACCTTGACCTGACCTTGACCTGACCTCTGTGATACCACGTGGTGCTGGAGCTGCTTGGGGAGGGGATGGGGCTTAAGTGGGGGGAGATGGGGGGCCTGGAGGGGGTCCGGGGCCTGACCTTGGCCTGACCTTGACCCCGCAGGCATGCCGCCCGGCCCCAGGTCCTGCCGTTGACCTTGACCTAACCTCTGAGATATCACGTGTTTCCGCGAGCTGCTTGGGGGGAGGGATGAGGCTTATGGGGCAGATGGGGGCCAGGAGGGGGGTCCGGGGCCTGACCTTGGCCTGACCTTGACCCCGCAGGCATGCCGCCTGACCCCAGGTCCTGCCGTTGACCTTGACCTGACCTCTGTGATACCACGTGGTGCTGGAGGGAGCTGTTTGGGGAGGGGATGGGGCAGATGGGGGCCAGGAGGGGGTCCGGGGCCTGACCTTGACCTTGACCTGACCTCTGTGATACCACGTGGTGCTGGAGGGAGCTGTTTGCTGAGGGGAATGGGGCAGATGGGGGCCAGGAGGGGGTCCGGGGCCTGACCTTGGCCTGACCTTGACCCCGCAGGCATGCTGCCCGACCCCCAAAACACTCACATCTTCATCAGCTGGATGATCGCGCAGTCGGTGACGGCCGTGGCGGGCGTGGTGTCCTACCCCTTCGACACCGTGAGGCGGCGGATGATGATGCAATCGGGGCGCAAAGGAGGTATCGGGGGGCCGGGGGGGGGGGGCCGGGGGGACCGGGGAGGGGGGAGAGGGGACGGGACGGAGCCCCCGGCTCCCCGCGGTCTCCCCGAGAGCCGGAGCCGGCCGCCGGCCCGGGGCCCCGACCGGGGTGCCTGGGTGGTTTCGGGGTTCGGGGTTCGGGGTTTTGTCCACGGATTCGGTCTCGGGGTTCGCCCGTCCCTTCTCCGCCTCTGACCTCTGACCCCCAGGGGGTTCAGGGGGAGGGGGCTCGGACCCTGGGGGTGAGCACCACGGACCGGCCGCCTCCCGCGCGCCCCCTGCTGGCTGGGGATGGAGCCCGCCACCCCGGGCCTGTGCCCCGGACCGGGAATCGAACCCGGGACCTACCTCCTGGTTCCTAGGGCGGCGACGCTCTAACCACCGAGCCACACCGGCCAGAGCCATTTATTATTATTGTTGTTGTTATTGTTGTTGTTATTGATCTCAGAGCGGAGGTGGAGAGGGAGGGCGACCCCTGGGGGCTGTGTGTCTGATAATGGGGGGCCCCCCCGTCCGGTCCTGACACCCCATCTTCCCCCCCCCCCCCAATAGCGGCGCCTGTGCACGGTTATCATCATGATAATGATTAATCATATTAATTAACAATCAGGTTAATCAACTAATTAAATTAATTAATGCTAATTAACATTTATTATTTAATTATAATTAAAATAATTATATTAGTTAACGAATAAGTTATATCATTTAATTATAAATTTATTAACTCAATTGTTTATTGCATGAATGATATTTATCAATTATACATTAATTAATATTAATTTATATTAATAGTTAATTAATATAATTAACACTAGTTAATTAACATAATGAATTCTTATAATAACAATGCATGTTATTGACAATGATAATTCATCATATCAATTCATTAAATAATGATAGATAGAATTAGTTATAAATTGTATTAATTGTGTTATTATTTAATGAATAATAGTTTTATTATTTTTTTTATTATTTTCTCGCCCCCCCCATAGCGGACATCATGTCCACGGGCACCACCGACGGCTCTGCCCACTGAGCCACACCGGCCGGAGCCATTATCATCATTCATATTATTATTAATAATTAATATTATTATTGATTATCATTGATTATCGATCTCGCCCCCTAGCGGACATCATGTCCACGGGCACCACCGACGGCTCTGCCCACTGAGCCACACCGGCTGGAGCCATTATCATTAATATTATTATTAATAATCAATATTATTATTGATTATCATTGATTATTGATCTCGCCCCCTAGCGGACATCATGTCCACGGGCACCATCGACGGCTCTGCCCACTGAGCCACACCGGCCGGAGCCATTATCATCATTCATATTATTATTAATAATTAATATTATTATTGATTATCATTGATTATCGATCTCGCCCCCTAGCGGACATCATGTACACGGGCACCACCGACGGCTCTGCCCACTGAGCCACACCGGCCGGAGCCATTATCATCATTCATATTATTATTAATAATTAATGTTATTATTGATTATCATTGATTATCGATCTCGCCCCCTAGCGGACATCATGTACACGGGCACCATCGACTGCTGGCGCAAGATCTTGCGGGACGAGGGCGGCAGGGCCTTCTTCAAGGGCGCCTGGTCCAACGTGCTGCGCGGCATGGGCGGCGCCTTCGTGCTGGTGCTGTACGACGAGTTCAAGAAGGTTCTCTAGGCGCCCCGTTCCCACGGCGCACCCCCAAACCGGCCCGGGGCCCCCGGCCCCTCAGATCCCGCCAGACACCCCCGTGCCCCCGGGCGGGTCCGCAGGAGCCCCGGGGGAGGCCCCAAAGGAAACCAAACCCCTCTGTTCACCCCCGTTCCCACGGTGTACCCCGAAATCAGGCCCGGGGCCCCCCAGCCCTCCGAGCCGGCCAGACACTCCCCAACTTTCCTTCTGGGTCACAGGAGCCCCCGGGGGGGGGGCCCTAAAGGAAACCAACCCCGTCTGTTCACCCCCGTTCCCACGGTGCACCCCGAAATCAGGCCCGGGGCCCCCCAGCCCTCCGAGCCGGCCAGACACTCCCCATCTTTCCCTCTGGGTCACAGGAGCCCCCGGGGGGGGGGCCCTAAAGGAAACCAACCCCCTCTGTTCACCCCCGTTCCCACGGTGCACCCCGAAATCAGGCCCGGGGCCCCCCAGTCCCGCTGGGGCGGCCAGACACCCCCGTGCCCCCGGGCGGGTCCGCAGGAGCCCCGGGGGCGGCCTCAAAGGAAACCAACCCCCTCTGTTCACCCCCGTTCCCACGGTGTACCCCGAAATCAGGCCCGGGGCCCCCCAGCCCTCCAAGCCGGCCAGACACTCCCCATCTTTCCTTCTGGGTCACAGGAGCCCCGGGGGGAGTCCCTAAAGGAAGCCAGCCCTCTCTGTTCACCCCGTTCCCACGGTGTACCCCGAAATCAGGCCCGGGGGCCCCCAGTCCCTCTGGGGCAGCCAGACACCCCCCGTTCTCCCGGCTGAGTCACCGCAGCCCGGGGGAGGCCCTAAACTTATCCCTTTGTGATCACGACCACGGACACCCCCGTTCCCACGGTGTACCCCCAAACCGGCCCGGGCCCCCCGGCCCCTCAGATCCCGCCAGACACGCCCGTGCCCCCGGGCGGGTCCGCAGGAGCCCCGGGGGAGGCCCCAAAGGAAACCAGCCCTCTCTGTTCACCCCCGTTCCCACGGTGTACCCCGAAATCAGGCACAGGGGCCCCCCAGTCCCTCTGGGGCGGCCGACACCCCCCCGTCTCCCCGCTGGTTCACGACAGCCCCGGGTGGTGACCTACGACGAATCCCTTTGCGATCACAACCACGGACACCCCGTTCCCACGGTGTACCCCGAAATCAGGCCCAGGGGTCCCCCAGTCCCCCAGGGGCGACCAGACACCCCCGCCCACTGGTGGATCATGGTAGCACCGGGCGGGGCTCTAGAATGAATTCCTTTCCGATCAAGACCATGGACACCCCCGTTCCCACGGTGTACCCCCAAACCAGCCCGGGGCCTACCGAGTCCCCCCGAGGCAGCCAGACACCCCCTGTACCCCCCCGCCAGGTCACAGGAGCCCTGAGGTGGGGGGAACCTAAACAAAACGCTCTGTGTTCACGACCACAGACACCCCCATTCCCACGGTGTACCCCGAAATCAGGCCACGGGGTCCCCCAGCCCCCCAAGCCGTCCAGACACCCCCTGTCTCCCCGGCAGGATCACAGCCGCCCCGGGGGGGGGGTGACCTAGGACGAAATCCTCTCCAATCATGTCCCCTGACGCCCCACGCCCCCCGTTCCCACGCTGTACCCCCAAACTGGGCCCCCGGGCCTGGGGGCCCCCCCAAATCTGAACAGACACCCCCTGTTCCTCCCGGTGGATCATGGCAGCCCCTGGCGAGGTTCTAGGATGAATTACTTTCCAATCAAGACCATGGACACCCCCGTTCCCACGCTGTACCCCCAAACTGGGCCCCTGGGCCTGGGGAACCCCCCAAATCTGAACAGACTCCCCCTGTTCCTCCCCGTGGATCATGGCAGCCCCGGGGCGGGGTTCTAGGATGAATTCGTCTCCGATCACGACCACGGACGCCCCCTTCTGCACCCTGATGGGGGGCGGGGGTCCCCCAAATCCTCTCCCACGGGTCCCCCCTCGCGTGTAGCTTTTATTTAAACGGAATCTGCCGCCGCACAGCTGCCTCTGCTCCCCGAACCCCAATTGTCTGTCGGGCATTCCGCCAACGATTAATTAAAAGCCACCCACACGGGCAGCCTGGTGTCCTGCGTCTTATTATTGATTATTGATTATTATTAATTAAAAATCATCATCTATTATTATTCACACACGGAGAGCCTGGTGTCCTGCGTCTTATTATTGATTATTGATTATTGATTATTGATTATTATTAAAAATCATCATCTATTATTATTCACACACGGAGAGCCTGGTGTCCTGCGTCTTGTTATTGATTATTGATTATTGATTATTATTAAAAATCATCATCATTTATTATTCACACACGGAGAGCCTGGTGTCCTGCGCTTTACTATTAATTATTATTATTAATTATTACAAAGACACAGAGATCCTGGTGTCCTGTATTTTAATATTATTAATTATTATTTATTCACACACAGAGGGCCTGGTGTCCTGCGTTTTTTTATTATTAATTATTATTAATATTGAAAATAATTATTTTTATTCACACGGAGATCCTGGTGTCCTGCGCTTTATTAATTATTAATATTATTAAAAATAATTATAATAATTATTATTCACACATGGAAAGCCTGGTGTCCTGTGTTTTATTATTAATTATTAATATTATTAAAATAATCATAATTATTCACACACAGAGGGCCTGGTGTCCTGTGTTTTATTATGAATTATTATTAAAAATAATCATTACTATTCACACACGGAGATCCTGGGGTCCTTCGTTTTATTATTAATTATTGTTATTAATATTGAAATAATAATTATTCACACACGAAGAGCCTGGTGTCCTGTGTTTTCTTATTAATTATTATTATTGAACAGAGACCCTGGTATCTATTATTATTTATTATTACTGATTATTAATTATTCATACGGAGGTCGCAGTGTCCTGCGTTTTATTATTAATTATTAATATTATT